TATGACTCAGTGTTCCGATTTAAGAATAAGATATTTTTTTCACCCAAGATTTTTACAAGCGGAAATGTACGTTTCTGGTAGAATGTCCCCAATAATAAACAATGAGTGCTCTTATTGTTTTCAATTATGTGCAACTTGTACTTATCTGTTAACATCTCACAAATGTGTTTTAGGGTTTGTCTCGATATGAATGAGTGTCATTTGCCTGCAGATTTGTCCAGTGGTCATTTGAGAGGTTCAAAGGGATTATACGAGAGTCAAGTAAACATTATAAACAATAAAGGTTTGCTTGCACTGTCATTTTATTTGTGAGAAAGTCACCATACAATCTACTAAAACAAATGGCAACAGTTAAAGGTCTCCCTCTAGTGAGTAAAGCAGAATTAACTAGTCATTTAATACTCATGTTGAACAGACAGTAGTAGGCAGTGTCCATTTACACAGAGTACAAATATCCAGTCTTTTTTCAAAGACTATTTCCACCCAACACTTACCAGACAATTTACCTTTAATACAAATAACTGCTCGCTAATATTTACACTTTATGTCAATTGCACTTATCACTATTTACATTTAGTAATAACATTTGCTTCCAGTCATTTTAATTGTACAAAAACAGCATGATATTGTAAACTGGTGTAACTTTGGCTATAGAGACAAAACGCATCCTCTGAACTGTGCCTCTGAATCTGCCCGACGTTAAAGGACATCGAAGGCAATAGCTATATAAACAAACATGTGTGTCATATAAGTTAAAGGGGTCATATGATGCGATTTCAAGTTTTCCTTTCTCTTTGGAGTGTTACAAGCTCTTGGTGCATAAAGAAGATCTGTAAAGTTGCAAAGACTAAAGTCTCAAATCCAAAGAGATATTCTTTATAAAAGTTAAGAGTCAGCCACACCTACCTAAAACGGCTCGTTCTAACCCTACAATAATGTACAGTATTTTAAAAATAATGTGTTTTTTGAACATTAAAGCATGTCAACATATTCTGTTACACCAAATACACAAAATAATGATCTTTAAAATAGCAGCATATTACCCCTTTAAGTTATTGTCCTTTACAGGAAATTGGTCTTGGACTCAAAAGCTGCAGTAGTAGCCTACAGGGGCCCGTTCTTCGTACATCGCTAACTCAGTTAGCTGGATTTGATTGTTGATGATTTGGCATGATCTTGGATTGGTTGGTTCTTCGAAGCTCATCCCGGAGTTGCTGTCATAGCAACAGGTCCGTAAGCTTAAACCAAGCGGCAACCTCCCGCTCGCTCTCGTGAAGCCAACAAGGAAGTGACTTAAACTGTAATTCGTCAACTGGCCGCTAGAGGCTGGCTGCAAAAGGGAGTCAATCCCATAGACTCCCCATGTTAAAATGCCCAACTTTACAGCAGAAAAAAACATGTTTACAGCCTAGTTCAAAAAACGATTTTGGTCTATATAGCTAATTTTGCCCTTCATGACAACTGCCTCCGCCCACTTTTGAGCTTCAAAAACTCTCTTCGGAACTGTACGGGTGACGTCACGGACACTACTTCCATGTTTTTATACAGTCTATGGCTTAAACCTGCTCGGGAGCAGCTTATTTCATGTAAACAGGATTAGATCGCATCTTTTTAAGCAGAACTGATACTTAAAATCTGTCCTCTGCCAACGCTACTTTATTACAAGAGAATCCTACTGATCCAGGGACAATAATTGAAAATAATAATAATTAAAAAATTAATTTAAAGATAATATAATCATGTTGTTTAGTCTTTAATACTATAGACAGTCAGTTTTACTCACTGAAATATTTATTTGTCATAAAATGATTACTTCATAATTGTATTCGAGTCTTACACACATGATAATGTAGAGTCGTGCATTCATTTGAGTGGTGACAGTTATTATGGGAGTGGCTTGATGGAGCGCAGGAGATGCAGATAACATGATCTTCTTGACCCAGGAGATGCAGATAACATGATCTTGACCTTTAAAAAAAACTTTAATTAATGCTGTCACGTAACAAATCTGTTCAAATATAAAATTGAATTAATTGCTAATTACACTGAAATAAAAATGTAAAGCCTGTACAAATATTAGAAATCGTGAATATAAATAATTGAGAATCATGTAAAAAAAAAAATTAAAATAAAATAAAAACAGTGCACATTTCATTTATCTATTATAACATTTATGTAGTTTTGTTCGCTTGGCTGTTTCAGTCCAGAAGTCTGTTCCAGTCTGGAAACTTCCTGTTTCCAGAAGTCCAGAAATTTGTCAAGTTTTTCGTCAGGTGTCTTTTTAATTATATGATGTCATTATGTCGCTGTCTTGCCGCCAGCCAATCGCTGCCTTGCTGATCGCGGTTTCGAGTATCGATACATATGCTGCGTTCAAGTCCTCCTGGGGACGGTCGTACTTACGAGTTGACAAGTCGTAATTACGACGTCAGGTGCGTTCAAGTCAGTTTAGTCGGCACAAGATGGCGGTGTACCTTCTTTTAATAAATTACAAGAAAATACAACAGGGTCTGCATTTTTTTACTTGGATTTCATTAACTAGCTGCGTAACAAGAACATGACCAATTTAAGTTTATAGGACAACTAAACTATCAATTTAAACAAAAATGTACCGTCAACTACAGACGTTGCATCCATCGATTCATAGCCCCTTTTAAACCAACCCATGAATGCGCAATTATCTCAGATAACTCAATCCAGCCATACTAATCATCAACAACATGTGCGTTCGAAGAACCGAATTAGCCAGATCCTGATTAGCGAGATGATCTCATCTTGGATGTGACATTTAATCTCGGATGTAATAAGCGACGTACGAAGAACGGGCCCCAGAACAACCACACACAATAATAACAACAACATAAGAGCGAGAGCGAAAGCAACTCAAAATACCATCACAGTTAATAACGTACTATTTAAAATCCTAATAGATACGGGTATAAATGAATGTGGATCTTGTGTATTTTCGTTGTGTGTCTAGCGAGGCCAAAGATAAATTTTCATTCAAGGCTGGACAATAAATTACAACTAACTAACTAATACTGTGGTATATGCTGGTATAGTAGTGTATCGGGTCTAAGAAGGAAATTAATTGCATATCCAAAAGCATGGGTCTTCTATAGTGCCATCACCATGGTAGACTACATGGTTATA